CCTGCCCAGCCCTGACCCCCCGCCTTGCCTGGGCCGCAGGTGGCTCTGGGCGCGCTGGACGCGGCGGAGCGGCTGGCGGTGCTGCGCTGCTGCTGCGCCCAGGTGCCGCTGGACGCGGGGGTGGCGCTGGGCGCGCTGGCGGCGCGCCTGCGCGGCTACGTGGCGGCCGACGTGGCGGCGGTGTGCGCAGAGGCGGCGATGGTGTGCGCCGTGGAGGCGGTACGGGGCGCAGAGGTGGCGGGACGGCTGGCCGCCGTGGAGCGGCCGGAGTTCCTGGCGGGCCTACGGGTCACGGCGGCGCACTTTGACGGCGCGGTGCGGCGGGCGGGGCCCGCGGTGCTGCGGGGTCTGGCCCCAGAGGTGCCCGACACGCGGTTTGAGGATGTGGGGGGGCTGCAGGTGCGCGCCTGGGGTGGTTTGTGTGTGTGTGTGTGTGTGTGCATGCAGTGGGGCAGGGTATGGGCTGAGACGCGCACACCAGCCAGCCCCCACCGCGGCCCCAGCCCGCCTCGACCTCCGCTGCCCGCGGCCCCACCACCCGCACCCCACACCTCCCCTCCTCCCCCATCCCGCCGCAGGAGGTCAAGGAGGCGCTGCGGGAGCTGGTGGAGCTGCCCCTGAGCCACGGCGCACTGCTCAGGGCGTACGGCCTGCCGCCGCCGCGCGGCGCGCTGCTCTACGGCCCCCCCGGCTGCGGCAAGACGCTGCTGGCGCAGGCAGCGGCCTCCCGCTGCGGCGCCAACTTCCTGTCCGTGCGCGGCCCCGAGCTGCTGCAGAAGTGGCTGGGCGAGTCGGAGGCCGCGGTGCGGTCGCTGTTTGAGACCGCCAGGTGGGCGGCGGCGGTGTGTGTGGCGGTGTGTGTGGCGGTGTGTGTGTGTGTGGTGGTGGTGGTGGTGGTGTGAATGTGTGTGTTGTATGTGTGATGCCGGTCTGCCTGGACATGTCTGCCCCATCAGCCGTTCGCCACTTGCCGTGGCGGCGCCCTCCTCACGCCGCGCCGCGCCCCGCCCCCACCCGCTGGGTGCCGCAGGCAGGCCGCCCCCTGCCTCATCTTCTTCGACGAAATCGACTCGATCGCGGGGCGGCGTGGCGGCGGCGGCGGCGGGGCGGCGGCAGGCGAGGCGGCTGCCGCCCGCGTGCTGAACCAGCTGCTGGTGGAGCTGGATGGGCTGGCAGGTGTGTTGGGGGGTGGCTGGCTGCCTGCCTGGCTGCTTTCTCCCTCTGTTGTGG